AAACATCTGTCTGGCTGTGAGACGAATCAAAATAAAAAAGTACATTCAAAGGGATTTCTGCTGTATATCTTGTTACAATCAATAGCAGTACATTATTTCAGACAATTGCCAAGCTAGGCATTTTGCATATTGTGCAAGTTTTGCATATTACTTCTAAATATTTGTGGTGACAGTCAAAGTGTATCCTTTTATGTAAGAATACAGTGGTTTATGCAAGAGCCAGGGTGGCATAGTGATTAGAATGCAATATTGCAGGCTAACTTTGGTGACTGCCAGCAGTTTGATCCTGACTGATTCAATGTTGACTCAGCCTTCCATCTTTCTGACGTCACTAAAATGAGGACTTAGAATGTTGGGGGCAATATCAGGGGTGCTATTCAGCAGGTTCTGACAGGTTCTGGAGAACCGGTAGCAGAAATTATGAGTAGTTCAGAGAACCAGCAAATACTGGCCCTAGAGTGGGGTGGGAATGAAGATTTTGCAATATCCTTCACCCAGGAGTGGGGAAGGAATGGAGATTTTGCAGTATCCTTCCCCTGCCACACCAACCAAGCACATCACACCCACTAAGCCACGCCCACAGAGTTTGATTTCCAACATTGGGCAATATGCTGATACTGTAAACTGTTTAGAAAGAGCTGTAAACAGTGGTGGGATTCAAATTTTTTTACTACCAGTTCTGTGGGTGTGGCTTGGTGGGCATGGCAGGGGAAGGATAGTGTAAAATCTCCATTCCCACCCCACTCAAGGGGAAGCATACTGTAAAATCTCCATTCCCTCCTTACTCCAGGAGGTTACTGCAAAATCCCCATTTCCTCCGGATCAGCTGGGGCTCGGGAGGCAGAGAATAGATGGGGGCGAGGCCCGTCAGAGGTGGTATTTACCGGTTCTCCAAACTACTAAAAATTTCCACTACCAGTTCTCCAGAACTGGTCAGAACCTGCTGAATACCACCTCTGGTTGTAAAGTACTATGAAATGGTATATATGTCTAAATGCTCTTGCTCTTGCTAATGCTACCAAAAACAAAATAAAGTATTATTGAGTGTAATCAAAAATACTATCTGAAGTTTCTACAATTTTAATTATTTTTTTCATATGTTTGTTGTGTTTATCTATTTAATAAGAAATGCTATTAACAGTGCTGAGCAGACTTTAATAGATCACAATTTTCTGAATTCAGATTAAAAATTAAAAGTGTTATTCTTTGATTATGATTTAATATAATGTATGTACAAAAGTGACACATAACAATTTTATGAAAAGAGAAAGGGAAAAACCAATTCTTCCTGATTTGACAGTATCAGCAAAATGCATGGATAAACCACAAGGTGGTAGCAAACTGCTACATGTTGCTTTATATTTTTTATTTTAAAGGAAACATACTTTAATTTAATGGCCTTTAAAACATGTTTAAATGCTTACATATCAAAGTCTTTATTTGGAATTTTATTGGAATTCTTCCTCCCATGAACATGCTTTATCTGCAGATAGATCAAGTCACTATTTGTTTTTATTCAACAAAAAAATTCATACTGAGGCAGGAGCTTTAACAAAGTAAGGATTTTTAAACTTGTAGGATAAAAGTAGTACTTACTACAGCTACTTTGAAAAATGTCAACAAACAGTACTGCCTCTATTTTATACAGAAGTACACAGCTCACTGTTTTTACTCAAAGCAGTTAGAATTGCATTAATTTTATATACATTAGAACTAAGACCTTATAAAGCCAGTATAACTTGTGGAAAAAACCAACCTTAGTGTTCAGATAGCAAAAGACATTTTGAAAATACTGTAATGAACATAAGAAGTTGATGAGAAATCTAGGGAATTGAGAAAGGAATATAATATTATATAGGAAGCCTGGAATGGTAAAATTGTTGCAAAAAAACCTAAAACTCACAATTAGTTGAGGTTAATGAACAATGTTATGAATAAAAAGGATGTTGTTAGATATATTCAAAATAATTTGAAAAGAACCACTACCCAAGGTTTATTTATTTAGCATATGGCATATCATACATGGACTAGCAACATATATTAATATTTCACTTAGATTAGTAAAACATAATAAAATATAAATGTGAAGGGATGTGAAACAATTCACCTCCTCATTAGTTTCACACTGGATAGTGTGACAGTGTGAACTAAATGAACTACTGGCAGCCAGACTACTCTGTAGAGTTTCCTGGCTCTCAAAATATATGGCAACAAAAATGAAAACTACACCAGGTGTTCAATAATGTTAGAAAAATGCAAAGAATAACAAAGAAAAGATTGGCCTTCTCTAAGAAAATATGTATGTTCTTTCAGGAAACTGTGAACACTAGTATGAACCAGCTGAAATTAAACATGGTCAGAGAATATCCATTTACTTTCATTGTGTTAAATCTCTAGGCCCATGTGAATTTCATCTGGAGACATTGGAAAAAGTAGTCTGTGGTCTGATCTGGTCTGGTCTTCTTTTCTGGAAATCCCAGAGAAAAGATGAAGTCCCAGACAACAGGAAGACAAATGTCACTATTTTCAAAAAGGAGAATCCGAGGCACTGTAAACCACTTAGTTTACAGCTAATACTCAGGAAGGTTCCAGAGCCAATCATAAACAGATCAGTTCATAACTGCCTACAAAAAAGTATATTATCTCAGCATGGATTTGTCATGAACAAGTTTGTTGGGAAAACCTTACTTTTTGATTGGCAATGTCTTTACATTATTGAGGAAATGCTGTCAATATATTAGGTCCTGATCTCTGCAAAACATTTGAAAAAGTCCCACAACCAGTGGTGGGTTGCCCCCGGTTTGGACTGGTTCAAAAGAACTGGTAGTAAAACCAGCAGAAAGCTCCTCCCACTGACCCAGACGTCATCAAGAAGTTTCTTGCATGCGCAGAAGTTTCCGTGCATGTGCAGAAGTGTACATGCCCTCCCATTGCAAACCAGTAGTAAAGGTAAGTAGAACCCACCCCTGCCCAGAACATTAAGTTGATTAAGTGTGAACTGGATTACATGATTGTTTTTATGCAGCTAATCCCCAAATCCTATTCATTAGTAATTTTCATCAAACTGGAATAAGGAATCATACAATCTAGTGTGCCACAAGATTTGGATTTCCATGACATATGTAATGTAACAGGAAGAAATGCAAAGTTTTTTTTTTTACTTAGGAAACAATTCAAATGAACAATTCAAATAAGATATACCTGGTTTAGTAATTGGCAAGAGGAGGTCAAAGAAGGGAGGGAATAATTAAATCACTCTTTTGCCAATGTGGCATAGCTCCACTCCTTTTATACACACATGACATCATACATATGCATGAAAAGGGCAAAACTTGCACTGGAGCAACACGACATAGCTTTGTCATTAGAAAGTGCTGAATCCCACAGATCTCACTGCAAACAATAGTGATTGATTGCAAACTAATATGAGTCAGCAGTGAAATTTGGCTCCTAAAAAGGCAATTGCAGCTTAAACTATCAACAAAAGTATTGTCTCCAAATTTAGAAGAAGTAACAGTAGACCCCTTTATTTTGTAAAACCCACTTCAAGGAATCTATTCACTTCCTGACACTGCAGTTTTAAAAAGTTTTGGAGAAAACTAGACAATTCAGAGAAAGGATAAAAAACAAAATTGTTAACGTCGTTGTTCAAAACTAGTGAAGGCAGCATGCCAGGCAGACTTGGCACAAAAGGTTAATTAGAATATAAAGGAGAAGAACATAAATCTGATGGATAAATGAATGGGGAATGCTCATCTTGACATAAGCATTCTTAACCTGAAAGGACACAGCACAGATATCCTTTCTCTTTTCTCTGTCATTTCAGAATAAAGGGCACATAATAATGGATTTACCTTACAGGGAGACTAATTCTATTTGAATGTAAGAAACAAGAAACTTTGTAACTGAACAGTTTGACTTTGACAGCAAAAGTGGCAGGCTTTCTTCAATGGAATACATTCAGAGGGTAGAGAACTGCCTAATGGGGAATGTATGCAAAGAAATTTTGTTATCAGCTCCCTGGATTGCAATATTGGGCTTTATATTGTTTTCTGTTTTTAATCTTTATTTCTGTTGTGCTCCACCCAGAGCTTACTGCTGTGGTGCTATATACAAGCGTAATCAACAAATAAATATGATTTGTTCACTGAATAGCAGGTCGAAGACCCTTTCCAACTGTTATTGCAGCCATAAGATTTGTGAGCTTTTAAATTCTCCAGAATTTTTAAATCCAGAGCAAGAAATAGAATAGAATAGAATAGAATAGAATAGATTTTTTTATTGGCCAAGTATGATTGGACACACAAGGAATTTGTCTTTGGTGCATATGCTCTCAGTGTACATAAAAGATACGTTCATCAAGAATCATAAGGTACAACACTTAATGATAATCATAGAGTACAAATAAGCAATCAGATCATATTAGGGAGCAGTCAATATAAATCGTAAGGATACAAGTGGAGTAAGGATACAATATAAATGGAGGAAACAAGGCGGATCAGTCTTTTGGTTTTGCGATTGAAAACTAAACCTAAATCTGAGAGGCGGTTTGGGGACTTGAGTGAAAGTCAAAACAACCATTTGAGATATGCAATAGTCCCTTCCTGCACCGCCCGATATTCAGTTGCCGAACTCTAAAGACGGTTTCACTCTTAATTACCGTCAATTTTGACGGGAGCCTCATCAGCCTCAGGTGGCGCTTTCCTATGATTATATTTTACGCCAAGAAGCAACGGGACGGCGGAGGCTTTCGAAACGAGCGGCTCTGAACACAGCATGGAAAGCGTGTGTCCCACGAATGAAGGTCATGACCATTTCTTAATGTTAATTAAAGGCACAGGTAGCTTTCATGCCATGCTGCGAGGAATACCTCCTAGGGAGAGAGATACCGAAGAGGGAAAGAGACGCGTCGAACAGAAAGCGGTGGGCTGGAGAGAGAGAGAGAGTTATCTATTGCCAGGCCCCGTTTCTAGGCAACCACAGCGGCGGGACCAAGAACCGTGACGCTCTACTTGCAGGGAAGAACCTCTATGGTTGCTAAAAGTGGCCGTTCTGCCTTCCTCTCCGTGGTTGGTGGGGCGTTCGGCTGACAACCCGGGGCTTAGGAGGGGGCGATGGAACGGGAAGGAGCGCTTGGTCCAGCAACGCGTAAGCGTGAGTACCGAGCAAGCAAGGGAGGAGGAGGAGGAGGAGGAGGAGAAATGCTTGGTTTCGGTTGCTTAACACTTAACTCGGTTTCCTCTCGGACCCGTGTGGACTTCTCAAGAAATATCGTGTTGTAATGGGATGTTAGGAATGTTGCTTGGGAGAGGAATCCTCAGAATAGAATAGAAGAGAGTAGAATACTTTATTTGGCCAAATGTGATTAGACACACAAATAATTTGTCTTCGGTTCAGAAGCTCTCACTGTACATGCAAAACAACAGAATCATCATACTAATACCAATAAGAGGGGTAGTAAATAAGATAAGGATAAATGGCAATATTACAGCCATGCTACATGGATAAATATACATAGTAGACATTAGAAAAATATAATGTGAATCGACTACAGCTGCAGCCCTTGATCCGTTTTTTTTCCTCCGGAATAAACCTGATTCAATTAAAAGGGACGTCGGAATAGTCGTGCATGAGGTCGTATGGCAAGGCTACCCCTTCATGCTTTTCTTTGTGGGAAGGCTACTGAACAGATGTACTTACTCCTGAATATGAGTGCATTGAAAATCAATTTTCATGCACGTCGATCTGGAAGTGAATTCGCGGAGAGAGGTGGGATTTGGTTCTGAGAGCGCAGAACTAGAGTATAAAGCTTTGTTGTTTTCAGTTAAGATGTGTGACAAGTGCCAGGCAAAAGCCATGAAATGAAACGGAAGAAATACCTCCCCCTACTTCCACTACATTTCAGCAACTCATTCTGTGAGCTATTACCAGATAATTAAGTGCCAGTTTTTAAATGCCCAATTTAAGAGGGGAATATGTTGTCAGATATTTAGTGTTGTAATGGGCATCACACTGGTTCCCAATAAAACAAAATGGGGGTAAGGAGTTATCCTTTTAATATTGCACAGAACAAACTCTTCTACTTTTTCTCTTGTCATAAATATATATAAGTTGTAAGAAAAAAGTTTCTAAAGTTTTTTTTAAAAAATAAAATGCATGTTTCTGGAGTTTTGCAGAAGTTAAAATAGCTCAAAGAAAAAGAAGATGAACTTTCTATGATATGAGGCATTTAGGGACTGAAGTGAGAGATACTTTTTTTAAAAAATCACCCCAGGTGACTTTGTTAAATGCTAGATTCTGTTTGGTTTTATTCTTGGGAGTCTGTATAAGAAAAGTAGTTTTTATATATACCATACATTTGAGGAATACATGAACACACCACAGAGACTCACATTGGGGGAAATGTGCATGAATCTCTTCAATTTCACCAGGCTGTTCATATATGATTACTGATAATATGCATTTCTGTTTTGAATATAGTAAATGATGAGTAATCACATCAGTTGCATCATTTATAGCTCATTTGATCCTGTTTGACTCTTTCCTTCAATGTGACAAGTTAAAGCTCTCTGAGATCATTATTTTAGTTTGCTGCTCCTGTTAATAAGCCAGGATTGGTAAACAATAATTTTGATGTATAGTCCTAGTAGGAAAGGGAGCATTATACTAGGACTCTGAGAGGGTTGCTAGGAATTGTATTTTGGTGACATTTGGAACAGTACAAATGGTTACATCTACACTTATAAAATCATTTTTGGTTTTTTAGCTTTTGAAGAGCAACCAGGGTGTATGCTCATGTACAATTGTATGTGAATGTGGCCTCTTGTTATTTGACTTTTTTAATAGTATTGGGTTTATTCTTTCTGCAATTAAATGTACCTAAACACAATCATGTTAGAATCATAGGAAAAAAATATTTAAATTTATAAGCCATGCTGGATATTTTAAGATAGAAAGCTATCTCTTTTTTAAGGGGATGGAGGTTATCTTTAAGTTGGTCTCTATTTCAGATGAGAGCCTAGAAAACCCGTGCAGTTTTCTTCACACCATTTTCAGAAGTGGTTACTTCTTCCTAGGGCTGAGGGAAATGGGCCAAAGTTGCCCAACTAATGTGGATCAAGGTAGGACTAGAATTAATAGTCGTCTTGTTTCTAGCAATAGCACTTAGACTTATATACCGCTTCACAGTGCTTTACAGCCCTCTCTAAGCAGTTTACAGAGTCAGCCTCTTGCCCCCAACAATCTGGGTCCTCATTTTACCTTGGAAAGATGGAATGCTGAGTCAACCTTGAGCCTGGTGAGATTTGAACTGGCAAATTGCAGGTAGCCGGCAGGCAGCAGAAGGAGCCTGCAGTACTGCACACTAACCACTGCGCCAACATGACTCATATCTGGATATTTTTATCCATTACACCAAACTGGCTCTCAGTAGATTAGTCTTTTTAATATTTGCAAAATTTTACTGTCAGTAATGTCTCCCCTTTTTCAATTGTTTTATTATTTCAGTAATAAAAGGTCTAGATAGGTGTTTATTAAATATAGTTCCAGTAGGACTAAACATAATCCCAATAATTGATACTTCAGAAAGTTCATGGTAAAAAAAGATACATTTAATAATTGCATTTATAGAGTTACTAGATCTGTATTACAAAAATAACTGTTAAGTAATGGCAAAGAGATGCAATCCCCAACTTTTTCCTGCCAATAAGTGATCATCAAGATTTTTTACAACTGTCATTTGCAATCCTATCCTATAAAAAGTAACAGCATTCCAATTTGTAGGACAGATAGAGAATTGTGTAACTGCAATTTACACAATTCTCTATCTGTCCTACAAATTGCAATGCTGTTACTTTTTAAAATTCAGTATTCTGCTTAGTTCTTTTTCTAATTTTCTTTTTGAAATCTAAAAATTATGCTGCTCATCTTTTCTTCCTGTTTATTTTTATGGTTGATGACAAACTGCTGGTTAATATTAAATAACTTGGAAGATTATGGCTCTTTTAAAATGAAAAATAGATGAATCATAAAAACTCAGAAAAAAATTAACACTGAATATGAATATATATGTATATGTTCATATATACATATATACATACGTATATGAGAGAGAGAGGGAGAGAAAATAAGCATATGTAGAAATGTACTTTTTCTAAGGAAGAAAGTAAAATTTCAGGTAAGTAATTTCAGGTAAGTAATGACAATAACATTTTGATTTTCCACAGTAATTAGGGAGAGAGAACATCCATTAAAGCCACAGCTGAATTAAATCCAAATGTACATAATAACCATATATTTTAAATATTTATTTAAGTTTTACTGAGCTGCTCTAGAGCTCTAGAATCAACAGCAAGAACCTGTTGTGGAAGGTTAAGTGAGCTGTGCTTGGGTAACAAGACATACTTGCATTTATATTAGCATTTCTGTTTTGTTGGGTTCATCTGCCACAGAGTAGTATGGAGCCCTTAAGTCTATATTAGAAACATGATCATAACAAGTAACTATACTGGAGCTTGCAAGGGGCCATATGAAATGAAGGGACTTTAGCTGGTAAATGATGGGACTTAATTCCCGAAACAGCTTATAATTACAGTATTGGTGATCGTGCTTAATTGCCAAGATATCTTACAAGTTTTATTTTAATGTTGTGTTCATGTAGCATATAAAATAGAAACATTCATTTGACAGAAATGCATATTTCATCATCTTCACATTGTGTGTTGCGCTTCAACTAACTGTGTGGAGTAAAAATGGCTTAATATGTTGAATATAAAATGAAAGTTTGGGTTTATTGCTACTCCAATTATAATCATCTTCTTGTTCGAAATTGCAAGGCAAAATTCTTTTGAGATGTTTGTGTAAAACATTTTGCTTTTATTCTGTACATTACATGCCAAGACAGCCAGTGAGTTCTAATTCTGTCTTAGGCATGGGTGATCATTGGGAGCCATTCTCTCTCAGAAGGAAGTAGATTATGACAAACCACTTAAGAAAAATCCTTGCCAAGAAAATTGCAGGGAGTGGTCCAGGCAGTTGCCATAAGTCATATCTGACTTAAAGGCAATGAATGAATGAATGAATAAATGCCAGCCATATGCCTGCTATATTATCTGCAAATAACATTATGAGAGGTTATCATATATAATATACAAGGCAAGTATGCAAAAATGATGCTCTTAAGAGGTTGAAAGAGAGGACAGCTGGTATGATTACATATCTTAAGCGGGAGTCCAAATCCTGTGGAAGCGCTTATTGAGTTCTGGCCAAATAATTTGCAATAGGATCAAAGGGAGAAATTATGAAATATGTATAGAATAAGTCATATTAAATATACTGAGTTTAATTTTAAAAACATATTTAAATTCAACAAAGCAATATTTATTTTTACTTTTCATTGGCTCTTCTGGCCTGCTGTTCTTTTTGGAAAGGACTCTTGGTGTGAAAAAGTTGCAATCTGCTAGTTGAAATTACTGAAGGGGAAGTAATCTTTCAGATAGTAGCAATCTAATCAGGAGAATTTAAATTTCTGAATGGCAATATTTATGCACAAATGCAATTAAATAAGACCTCTATCTGACTCTTAATTTCTCTGTCAACAAACCTTATAACAGAAAGAATCTTAGGCTGTATTTTTTAAATCTGTGTCACAATCTGATCATACTTTCCAAATAGAAACATGCCAGATAAATAGGAAGAATTGGAGGATAGGGAAAAGTCTATACAAAAATTGAATACAAATAACTATGATTACTTAACTGCTCAGGTAAATTTCGCCCAGATAGAGATATGCATATGTTTTTTAGCTAACTAAAACTTAATTGGTTTATTTTACAGATAGCAAGTTGGGATGAAAATCCAGCTCATGTTTTATTTACTAGTAGTTTTTACCGTTCAATTTCAGGACAGATAATGTGATCAGTTTGAGGCACAGATTGTTCTGTTTTAATATTATGTGCTGTTTGAGAGCAGCATTTCTTTTTTTAAAAAAAATTGCACTCTGAATGTTTTCCACTATCTTTATTTTTTAAAGATATAGCTGAAGTATATTTATATGCAAATTCTGCCATAAAGGATCCTTTCTGTCCTCATGGGATCTCTCTGTACTTCCAGCTATTTCTGCTTTATTTTTAGTACAACTGAGCTCACTTCTCTGA